AATATTTATTCATCAGTTGTTGCCATCATCATCATCTCCGTTTAGGACACCACTGCTCCTTGTCCATGCTACACTCGTACATCTCTGTACAAGGCAGATTGCTGGCCAAACATTTGCAGGGCGGTGAGAATCTGGTCTTGCAAATGAGTGTTTGATTATCTGCATGATTGATTTGGGACACATGGTATTTCATACATAACTGGTGTGATCCAAGACCAATCCATGCCTGATAGTCAAGGGTAGTTTTGGATGATATTCCACTGCTTGATAATTTGCCCTCTTGTTAGCAGGTATACTTATTCACTGTGGCAATTTTTCTCCATTTGTGGTTTTCTTGGAAAACACCCACCAGCAGCTTTGCAGAGAGTGTAGTGTTTGTCTTTAAACAGTAAACTTGGCATATGAATGCCTGCAGTGCATTTCTGACCTCATCAGTGACTGTCTCAGCCATTCTGAGTACCTTCAAAGCAGGAGAGAGTCTTTGGAGGTAGACTCAAATGCCTTCCAGTAAGATAATTTCGTTTTTCCAAACTAAATGGAAGAAATTGCACCTTTTCTTTTTCTTCTGAGTCAGTTTAGTTAAATTAATATAATCCTCCTGTATGGATGCTCTTAAGATCATTTAAGAGTGACCATACAATGGGCTCATACCAGTTTAACTAAATTGACATACACAGTTTTAACAAAATGTTTTTCTATAAACCCAGGTTTCAGAGTAGCAGCCATGTTAGTCTGTATTCGCAAAAAGAAAAGGAGTACTTGTGGCACCGTCGAGACTAACAGATTTATTTGAGCATAAGCTTTCGTGAGCTACAGCTCACTTCATCGGATTTATTCAGTGGAAAATACAGTGGGGAGATTTATATACACACAGAACATGAAAAAATGGGTGTTATCATACACACTGTAACAAGAGAGTGATCACTGAAGGTGAGCTGTTACCAGCAGGAGAGTGGGGGGGGAACCTTTTGTAATGATGATCAACGTGGGCCATTTCCAGCAGTTGACAAGAACGTCTGAGGAACAGTGCGGGGTGGAGGTGGGGAATAAACATGGGGAAATAGTTTTACTTTGTGTAATGACCCATCCACTCCCAGTTGCTATTCAAGCCTAAGTTAGTTGTGTCCAGTTTGCAAATTAATTCCAATTCAGCAGTCTCTCATTGGAGTCTGTTTTTGAAGTTTTTTTTGTTGAAGAATTGCAACTTTTAGGTCTGTAATCGAGTGATCAAAGAGATTGAAGTGTTCTCCAACTGGTTTTTGAATGTTATAATTCTTGACATCTGATTTGTGTCCATTTATTCTTTTACGTAGAGACTGTCCAGTTTGACCAATGTACATGGCAGAGGGGCATTGCTGGCACATGATGGCATATATCACATTGTAGATGTGCAGGTGAACGAGCCTCTGATAGTGTGGCTGATGTGATTAGGCCCTGTGATGGTGTCCCCTGAATAGATATGTGGACACAGTTGGCAATGGGCTTTGTTGCAAGGATAGATTCCTGGGTTAGTGGTTCTGTTGTGTGGTTGCTGGTGAGTACTTGCTTCAGGTTGGAGGGCTGTCTGTAAGCAAGGACTGGCCTGTCTCCCTAGAGCCGTGAGAATGATGGGTCGTCCTTCAGGATAGGTTGTAGATCCTTGATGATGCGTTGGAGAGGTTTTAGTTGGGGGCTGTAGGTGATGGCTAGTGGTGTTCTGTTACTTTCTTTGTTGGGCCTATCGTGTAGTAGGTGACTTCTGGGTACTCTTCTGGCTCTGTCAATCTGTTTCTTCATTTCAGCAGGTGGATATTGTAGTTGTAAGAACGCTTGATAGAGATCTTGTAGGTGTTTGTCTCTGTCTGAGGGGTTGGAGCAAATGCGGTTGTATCATAGAGCTTGGCTATAGACAATGGATCGTGTGATGTGGTCTGGATGAAAGCTGGAGGCATGTAGGTAAGTATAGCAGTCAGTAGGTTTCCGGTATAGGGTGGTGTTTATGTGACCATCGCTTATGAGCACTGTAGTGTCCAGGAAGTGGATCTCCAGGCTGAGGTTGATGGTGGGATGGAAATTGTTGAAATCATGGTAGAATTCCTCATGGGCTTCTTTTCCATGGGTCCAGATGATGAAGATGTCATCAGTGTAGCGCAAGTAGAGTAGGGGCATTAGGGGACCGGAGCTGAGGAAGTGTTGTTCTAATTTTTGTTATAAACTGGGGACAGATCAAGGTCTTTCTCCTCCTCTGTTACTCCCAAGTGGAGTATTGGTTGATCACAGGATGACTGTGAGCCACTAATGTGATATGGCCGTGAAAAAAGCTAATGCGCTCTTGGGATGCATCCGGCGAGGTATTTCCCATAGAGATAAGGAGCTGTTCATACCATTATACAAGGCACTGGTGAGACATCATCTGTAATATTGTGTGCAGTTCTGGTCTCCCATGTTTAAGAAAGATGAATTCAAACGGGAACAGGTACAGAGAAGGGCTACTAGGATGATCCGAGGAATGGAAAACCTGTCTTATGAAAGGAGACTCAAGGAGCTTGGCTTGTTTAGTCTAACCAAAAGAAGGCTGAAAGGAGATATGATTGCTCTCTATAAATATATCAGAGGCATAAATACCATGGAGGGAAAGGTTTCAGAGTAACAGCCGTGTTAGTCTGTATTTGCAAAAAGAAAAGGAGTACTTGTGGCACCTTAGAGAGTAACCAATTTATTTGAGCATAAGCTTTCGTGAGCTACAGCTCACTTCATCGGATACATACTGTGGAAAATACAGAAGATGTTCTTATACATACAAACCACGAAAAAATGGGTGTTTACCAGTACAAAAGGTTTTCTCTCCCCCCACCCCATTCTCCTGTTGGTAATAGCTTATCTAAAGTGATCACTCTCCTTACAACGTGTATGATAATCAAGCTGGGCCATTTCCAGCACAAATCCAGGGTTTAATAGGAAGGAAAAGAATTATTTAAACTGAGTACCAATGTGGAAACAAGAACAAATGGATATAAACTGGCCATCAGGAAGTTTATTCTTGAAATTAGACAAAGGTTTATAACCATCAGAGGAGTGACGTTCTGGAACAGCCTTCCAAGGGAAGCAGTGGGGGGAAAAGACATATCTGGCTTCAAGACTAAGCGTGATAAGTTTATGGAAGGGATGATATGATGGGATAGCCTAATTTTGGCAATTAATTGATCTTTGACTATTAGCAGTGGATATGCCCAATGGCCTGTGATGAGATGTTAGATGGGGTGGGATCTGAGTTCCTACAGAGAATTCTTTCCTGCGTGTCTGGCTAGTGAGTCTTGTCCACATGGTCAGGGTTTAGCTGATCGCCATATTTGGGGTTGGGAAGGAATTTTCCTCCAGGGCAGATTGTCAGAAGCCCTGGGGGTTTTTCACTTTCCTCTGCGGCGTGAGGCACGAGTTGCTTGCTGGCGGATTCTCTGCATCTTGAAGTCTATAAACCATGATTTGAGGACTTCAGTAGCTTAGACATAGGTTAGGAGTTTGTTACAGGAGTGGGTGGGTGAGATTCTGTGGCCTGTGTTGTGCAGGAGGTCAGACTAGATGATCATAATGGTCTCTTCTGACCTTAAAGTCTGTGATGCTATGTGAGGTATCAGGGGAAAGGTTATGATCTGCTGAAACCCACTGTTCCATCTAATATATGTCATTTATGCATATGAAGTTATGAGAATTGTGTTGTATGATGGTCACTAAAATGTGTTGTGGGTTTGGGAAGAGCCCAGATACTAGCTTCCCAAAGACAGTAACCAGGGGGATAACCAATGCCCGGGCTGGTGTTGAGCAACTGTCAAAAGCCATTGTCCAACAAGGGAGCTACAATGCAGTGACTCACTTGCCCAACGCCACACCAGGGGAATTGCTCAACCTTGCAATGCACACCAGATATCCCTGGACTTCTCTTCTCCAAGCACATGGACTAAGGGTATAAAACAGAACACAATGGCCCCATGCTTTGCCTTTTCTCTTCTGCCTACCTACGCTGCAAGCAACAAGGACGCTCAGAAGACTGAAGACTCCAACAGAGGAGACTGGTCCAGGTTTAAGAGACAAACCTGTATATTAAGGACTGTAAGATCCAGTGGGGTGAGAACATTGCTTGATCTAAACACTTTCTAGTGTGATAAGGGTTAAGGTTCAGACTGCATGCTTATATTTTCTTTTCTTTTCTTTTGGTAGCCACTCTGACTTCTTGCGTATCACTTGTAATCACGTAAAAACTGTCTTTTGTAATCAGTAAGCTTGTTTTACTGTTTATCTTTACCAGTGAGTTTGCCTGAAGTGCTTGGTAAATCTGCTCAGGTTTACAAATGCTGGTATATATCTACTTTCCATTGATGAAGTGGTGAACCAATTAATAAACTTGCATTACTCAAGAAAGGGACTTGAACAGCGCAAGACGGTATAATCTGAGGTACAAGGCTGGGAGCTTGGGGGATTTCTCTGGTGCTTTTCTCTGTGTGATTTCATGAGTGGTTCATGCAATCTAGCTGGGTGTGGGGCTCCACATGCTGTTGTGCTGAGAGATAACAGTGCCTGGAGGGGTTCTCTGCTTGTCACTAGCAAAGCATTGTGAGAGAGAGCCCTGGCTGGAGAGTTAAGGTGGCACAGTTGTGCCACAGTCCCAGGCTGCACCCTGGGGATCCCATCACAATGTACTTTTAGTGTAACTTTGTGTGTAATATATAATATATTTTTCATATAATAACAAAAGTATTTTTTTTTTTTCAAATGATTGACCCTTTTTGTCTCAAAATTTATTTAAGGAAAAAAATAGTTAAGAATTCACCCTTACGCATGGACATTTTTTTTTTTTTAACTAACATTCTTTTTAAGTTTCAGAGTGGTAGCTGTGTTAGTCTGGATCAGCAAAAACAACTGACACCTTGTTGGTTGTTCTTTTTAAGTGTTTCTTAAAATAGTAAACTTTTTTCCCATCAATCTAGATTACATATTAAAATAACAAAATTGTTTGGGTTTTGCAGATTGCCTTCATGACCTTGACTTTGTTCCCCATCCGACTCTTTTTTGCTGCTTTTATGATGTTACTGGCCTGGCCTTTTGCATTCATTGCTTCAATGGGATCTGCTGAGAGAGAACTGGAAAGGCCTCTCTCCTGGTGGCGAAAGTGAGTCAATGCATTCGTTGATTTGGTAAAGCATACACTGCGGTACAATAAATAGATAACCATTATATAACTTAGCAGCTTCAAGGAGAGAAGTCCTGGAATAACCTGACAGTACTAGACAGTTTTCTTTTTAATATGGGAAAGGCAAATCTGTGGCAAGTGTAAAATCTATCATTTTGAGAAGTTAAAAAAATGAGAAGTTAAAAATATGTGAATTGACAAATACATATCTGCATTATCAGTTGGCCCTTAGATTGCAGAGAAAGAGGGGGATTTAACTTGGTTTTGTGAAGCACAATTTTTGCAGTGTCATTTTAATATTCTTTAACTTGCATTATTTCCATAAATATCTATTTCTCCTTACTGCAAAGAAGGTTTTCTGGAAAGGTTAAGAAACCACCAACAGTTATGTAATTTTTAAATTAAGGTCTCTGCTAAAGTCAAGATGACATTTTATAGAAAATATTCTTAATAATCTTAAAGGTCTGTACCCAGTGATGGTTTTCTTAGTGGTCAAAATCAGTTAGTGTTCATTGCTTCAAAATTGGGGATTTCTGTGTAAGAAAGATGCCTAAAATACTCAGGAATTAAATAAAATATAACTGAACTAGATGCTGTTGGTTTGAAAATGGCTTACACGTGTTCAGAAAATGAGAACAAAATAACTTTAATAAATGTTTCTGGTTCAATAAAACAGAATACTTAGGTTTGGAAGGATTAGATTTTTATTGATAAATGTCAGTAAACATCAATTTCACCATATACATACAAATCAATAAAAACATTTCCATTGATTATCAAAATTTTCATGTAAGCTAAGTAAGAAAAGGCTTGATACAAATGGAATAGCAAATGAACAGTAAAAACAGATATAATGTATTGTTTTAAGTATATTTGCTTTGTATATCTTGATGTGATATTGAAAATTTGTGTTTTAACTGTTTAAAGCTTTAATTTCTTGAATATACACAACACATTGATTTAAAAACAATGTTTGTAACACTTTTACATTACTGAAGTAATGTAACCATTATCTAAATTGTTTACAGAGTAGTGGACTTTTTGCTGAAAGCAATCATGAGAACAATGTGGTTTGCTGGAGGATTCCATTGGATAAATGTAAAGGGCAGACAGGCTTTACCAGCAGAAGCAGCAATATTAACTCTGGCTCCACATTCCTCATACTTCGATGCCATTCCTGTGACCATGACTATGGCTTCCATTGTGATGAAGGCAGAAAGCAAAGATATTCCTGTATGGGGAAGTAAGTTCAGTTAGTCAAAATTTTATTTTCCAAGTAAGATTAAAAATAAAGTCCTAGAAATGTCATGACTGCATATTAAATTTGGCAGATCGGGGATGGACCGTAAGCAAAGCAACAAAGTTGTTAGAACAAGTGAGGAAGTAAAATTTTACAGGGTTGTTTTGATTATTAAATGAGTTAACTGAAAAATATGACATGGTTGTTTCAAAAGGTAAATGACTGTAGGAAGCAAAACCAAATATTCCACAGAATCCAGAGGTAAGTCATGAATTCAAGTTTTTCAGAACACAACATCCTGAGGGCAGAGTGTGGACTGTAAGAGCAGGGAGAGAGACAACTATTTAAAGTTCTGGTATGTAGGGACACTGTAGAACAAGTCCACCCAGAATTTCTTTCCTTTGATTTTTCCACTTGAGGAAGCTGGTCTCGTGAAAGGAAGAGACCTAGGTTGAATGGAGGGACCTATTTCTTCTGACTGAGATAGGGGAGGCTGATTGTCCCTCCTGCACCAAGCACGTGGCTCTAGGCAATGGTGCTACAGATCTGAGAGAGAGGCAGACTGGGGTGGTTTGGAGTTTGGTCACTAGAAACATAGATGGCTCAGAGATACCAGTTCCTCAGCTATCTTGCAAACAGCTAAACAAACTTCTAGTCAGTGTGGGAAGAAGCCTGTGGTTGTGGTACGTATTGATGACATAAGGAGGTATAGGAGAGAGGTTGTGGAAGCTGAATTCAGATTGTTAGGAAGGTCACTGGTTGGAAGCATTTCAGAGAAAAGCTACTAGTTTCATGCACGGGGTCAGCTAGACAGAGCTCAGCATCTCAGTGTATGGATATAAAGACCTATAAAAAGAGAGTGGGTTTAAATTAGACACTGGATGGGGTACACTTTGGGGTAGAGAGAGCCTAGATAGATGCGATGAATTCCACCTTAATCAAGAGGAACCAGACTATTGACACATATGAATAATAAAGTTTTGGGGACTTGGTTAAACTGGAAATTGGAGCAGAACTGACAAATGTTGAGCAATCAAGTCTGATGAAGACATCTGTTAGAGAAGTCAGTGATACAGATGTATCTCTATATCAAGTGAAGGATAGGCTAGAACTACAGCAGAACCGGAAACGTCAAGGTCACGGAGCCAAATTCTGTTAAATTAAGTCAGAATACTAAAGAGTTTTGTAGAAGTAGACACATGGTTAAAAACAAAAACTACAAATTTCTGAATATAAGTGAATGAAGCCTAAAAGCAAAAAATAGTTCATCTGAAAGTAGAAGAGGATCTTGCTATAAGAGTGATTACTGAAATGTGGTGGAATGACAAAAATCAGTGGGATATTATATCTGCCTAAATTCCACAAAGGAAGGCTAGATTGTGTAGAAGAAAGTACTTCTGTTTAAAAGATTACGTAGTGATCGAAGTTCCAAGGAGATGTGATCATGAAGTTGAATCTGTAGGGATACATAGAGTGAAGATAAAATTCAAATTTGACAGGTACAAAGTAATGCACACTGAGTAATTCAAATTATTTCCTCTATAAACTTCACTGGGTTCTAAATTAACTGTATTAACCTAAGGAAAAGACTTGGAGCAAAATCCTGCCCCCTTTCGAAGTAAAAGGCTAAATTCCCATTGACTTCCCCAGAGCCAGGATTTAATCCGTGAGTGTTGTTATAGACAGGTCCACGAACACTTGTGCTCAATGTCCAGCAGCCGTCAAAAATCAGTCACGCTAGACTGTATAAGAAATTAGATGGAAAAATATGGAAAGCATTATATCATCATGTAAATCAATGGTACATTCTTATTTGGAATACTGCATTCAGTTCTTGTCACCCCCATCTTCACAAGAACAGATTTGGAGAGTGTCTGAACATGGACAATAAGACTGATTAGAAACATGGAAAAGAGAGAAAAGATTGGAACTGTTCATTTTAGAGAGGAGATGAACAGGTGGAGCATAATAAAAAAGGAGTTTGATCAGTAATGTAGTCACCTTTTATGGTAATGAAAGATTAAGGAATGTTCAGTGAAATTGAAAGGTAGCAAATTCAAAACTGGTAAAAAGAAATACAACATACTGTGGTCATTAAAGGGACCAAGAGCTTAACAGGATTCAAAAAAGGATTAGACATTTATATGAATAACAGCAAGTATTTAAAAAATAAATAAGAGCCTTGAATGGGATGTAAATCGTTAAATTGCAGGGTATAAACCTACTTCTAACCTTTGGGTTTTAGGAGGAAACTTGCCCTGTAGAGCTGCTTCTTCTGAAGCAGTTGGTAATGCTCATTGTCGCATAGGATACTGGAGTAAATGGAACTACTGGTCTGATTCAGCATGGAAATTCCTGTGTTCCTATCTATATTCTGACTTTGGATATGCTTCATATTGGAGTTATGTTGTTTATGATCCACCAAAACTGGGTCCCATATATTTTTTGGATTGCAGAGTTGATTCTGAGAGATTTTTTTTTTAATAATCTAGTACATTACTTTGAAACTAATGAACATGTTGAAAGGTTTAATTATTTGTATTTTGTCAGTGCTGTGACCTAGAAATAATTTAGTCTGAAATTTGTTTTTGGATTCTTAAGGCTTTGTAGTATGTGATTTTTAGCAGTAGTTTTATTGCAAACAAATTTCTAGAGTTACATCACAACTCTGCAGGGCAGTAAGAAGTTACATATGACTGTCTTAGGAAGGGTGGTCCCCAAATATCTCTGGCTCTGAGTAATTGAATTTTACATAATTGGTAACACCAAAAGCAAGTGGCTAACTGAAGAATTTCAATTTAAGTATTCAGTGTAGATCCCTACTCTTAGGAGGACTTGAACTTCTGACACTGATGGCCAGAATACTCTGGAAAGCAGTGTATGCTCTATGCAGAGCTGAATATTGTGAGATACAAAGAAATGTAGCTCCATTTCCATCTCATACCTTTAGACTAGTATGTGAGGTTTCTGCTCTCTGGCTCCTCAACCTTTTATCATTATGTCTGTTTCTAGGCTGGGCACATTACTGTAAAATAGGATGTAGAAGGCATTTTTGGAGAAAAGTAGATAAACAAGTTATCTTTCATAATTTTAATGTGCTGAAACTGAAAAAAAAATGTTTACCAGGATGAAGTTTGAACATTTCACTTTCTAAATTGGAGATGATGATGATTTAAATACAATTTGAAAAATTAGTATATTTCTATGGTTTTTATTCCACTACATACAGTTATTATATATTCCGCACATTGTTTAGACAAGCATAATTTAACAGTTTCTACATATGCCAATGTGCTCCTTGCAGCTACAGGCTGCAATCTATGCCAGTGTGGCATTTCTGCAGCTACAGCATTGTGATATACATTCTTTGATGCATCCACAGTGGTAATTTCTGTACAGCTGTCAGGTATTGGCTACATTGACATAAGCTTGGGTATCCGTCCTCCATTGTGTTTGGTCCAACCCATATTCTCCAGTGGGATAGCTGCATTTGCTTGCCTCCAGATCATGACTTGAAAGTGAGCTCTTTGGGTGTAATAGCATGGTGCATCTCTAGTTGGGACAGAGCATCTGGTGATAGATACTTGGAGAAGAATATCACCCATGCTTTGTCACAGTTCTTCCTCATCAGGCAAATTGTACGTGTTACAACTCTTCTGCTGAAATGGGAAGGATGATCTACAGAATCAACCAACTTCCTTAAAGTCCCTGTTTCTCCATGAATATTGTCAAAGCCATTTTCTTGCTGTGCCAAGCAATATGGGAAACTGTATCACAGCCTGTCAGGACATGGAAGGAGAGTATTGTTCCTATGTCTGCTTCACGATATACAGGCAGAAGCTTCATTCAGATAGTATGCACAAGAATGTGCATAAAAAAAACCCAAATACAATTTGCTGCAAGGCATTTTGTCAGTGTGCTACTAACAGAAGAACGTCAGTGTCTTGTGCTGACACGATGACACAATCAGCATCTATATGCATACAGTGCAGTACAGTCCTGGTGTCTGCCTCTTCATGGTCAGCTTTGCAACTCACTTGTGTCCACAGGTGGGTTTGATGATTTAACTGTACGGTCTTCTTTGAACCCTCCGGATATGAAAATTGTTTTGGTATGTGGAGCATTGGGTAGGAGTTTTTCAGAGATGAAAGAAGGCAGATCAGCTTTATTTTTGGGATGGGTCAAGTGATCTGGTGAGCAGTTGAGTGGAACAAATCTGTCTTCAATCATTTTCCAAATTGTCCTAGAAGCTTTGGAGCACTTCTGTTGCATCATTCCGTTAATAGAATCCTGTGTGTACTTGTCAAAGGTATAGTCCTGCTGAAATGCTGTCCAGAATGATGAACTCACTCCACAAAAACGTTTGCAAGGTTTCCAATGATTGTACATTGAAGAGGTTTTCCTAGTGCCATTACATGTGCTTGGCTATCCATCACCAGAGAGGATGTACTGTCAAGTATTATCTCACAAGGAGAAGGATCTCTGGTTAACATGTCTATCATAACAGGCTTATTTCTAACTTCAGACACCTGTTTACCTCAGCAAGAGTAAATGGAACTAGCATTAGCTCAGGACACAATGTCCTTATAGGCAGTAACTATGCACTTAGTATCAGAAGATCAGCCTTTATTGTGACTACCTTGTCTTTGCTTTTCATTTCTTTTCCAGCTGCATAGAGGGAGGAAAATGTCAGAGCCCTTGTCCTTTTCATGGAATTTGGTTTGGGCACTTCCTTTGGTGTCATGAGCCTTTCCTGAACAAAGATATTAAGGGCATTTCTGCACTACGAAATTAGGTTGATTTTATAGAAGTCGATCTTTAGCAACTGATTTTATACAGTTGATCATGCATGTCCCCACTAAGCGCATTAGGTCATAGAATCATAGAATATCAGGGTTAGAAGGGACCTCAGGAGGTCATCTAGTCCAACCCCCTGCTCAAAGGAGGACCTATCCCCAGTTTTTGCCCCAGATCCCTAAATGGCCCCCTCAAGGATTGAACTC